AGGGAGCGCACCAACGGCTACATCTGCGCGCTCAAGGTGCTGCACAAGAACGAGCTGCAGCAGGGCCGCGTCGAGAAGCAGGTGCGCCGCGAGATCGAGATCCAGAGCAACCTGCGGCACCCCAACATCCTGCAGCTTTACGGACACTTCCACGACTCCAAGCGCGTCTTCCTCATCCTCGAGTTCGCCTGCAAGGGCGAGCTGTACAAGCACCTGCGCAAGGAGAGCCGCTTCCCCGAGTGGAAGGCCGCCCAGTACATTGCCCAGATGGCCTCGGCCCTGCGCTACCTGCACCGCAAGCACGTCATCCACCGCGACATCAAGCCCGAGAACATCCTCGTCGGCATCCACGGCGAGCTCAAGATCTCCGACTTTGGCTGGAGCGTCCACGCCCCCAACAACCGCCGCAAGACCATGTGCGGCACCCTCGACTACCTGCCCCCGGAGATGCTCAAGTCGGGCAGCCAGGACAACTACTACAACGAAAAGGTCGACCTGTGGTCGCTCGGTGTGCTGGCCTACGAGTTCCTGGTGGGCGAGGCTCCGTTTGAGGACTCGCCGGTCATGACACAGAGGAGGATTGCGAGGGCCGACATGACGATTCCCTCGTTTGTCAGCGCAGAGGCCAAGGACTTGATCAAGAGGGTAAGTCGAGAAACCGCCGTACAAATTTCTCGTGGAACACGATCACTAACAATCCACTAGTTGCTTGTGCTCGACCCCGAGAAGAGGATACCGCTGGACCAGGTTCAGCAGCACCCTTGGATCATCAAGCATTGCCTCAAGGGCGAGCGCGCCCACAACCGGGAGAAGAGCACATGACGACCACGACGAGATTCGTAATGTTTGCATTTTCGGCAGGAGTTCAAGGACTGCGTAATATTGTATTTTTCCACATCACCACAGACAGGCGTTTTTCAGGGAGGCAACGGCGTTGCATGGCGAAACATATGGCCAAAGGAGGCGCATCTTGCATCATAAGGGGAGCTTGGTATTTTCCATTCCGTACCCGATTTAAATACATTAAACATTTACATCTCATTCCTTGACGTGTTGCCCATTGTGTAACTCCATAAACGCCTCTTCTCTTGCATCATGGGTGTGTTTTTTCTCAAGTGTTGTACAATCATTGCCATCCGAAAGGAAGCATGGTCTCTCTGCGGTCTCTACCTGTAAATCTCGTCAAAAGGCCGGTGATCCGAAAAGCACGAGTCCCAGACCTGGTTCACCACCTTGACGGCCTGTACGTCGTCCTTGACGTTGGGCCTGGCCATGAGGGACTTGACGGCCCTCCGCCGCACGCAGTTTTGGAACTGCTGCGTCAGGTTCCAGTTGCCGTTGATCATGGTCTCTCGCGTCCACCGGCACTCGCCGCTCAGCATGGAAGCTCGGATCTGTATATAACCTGTCAGGACCGGCGCAATCTCTTCTTGACATGTAGGAGGGTAACTCACCTCTGAGCACGCGGCGTGCTTCAGGTCGCCCTGCCAGTCGACCTTCCAGCGCAGGTGGTCCCAGGCGTGGACCATCTCGTGGCTGAGCGTGTCCTCGAGGTGCTTGCGGTCGCGCACCTCGTTGGCGCACAGCAGGATGCCGCGGCCCGGGTTGAACCCGCCGCCCTGGCGGTGCACCTGGCCGTCCTCGGTGAGCCGGGCGGGGCACCGGCGGCACACGACGTTGGACGCGTCCAGGCGCCCGTTGAGGTTGCCGACCTGCTCCCGCAGGAAGCGCACCGTGGGCGAGTGCGCGAACGCCCAGTCCCGGAACTGCTCGCACCGCCGGCAGTCGGCCTCCTCGTTGACGCGGTACCGCTGCTCCCGGTAGTGGAACGCGCCCTCGGACGTCATGTCGCCCGTCAGGATCTTGAAGTAGTTGACCCACCACTTGGTCTGCGGGTCGAAGCCGGTGCGCGCCGGGTCGTTCTTGACGATGGGCGGGAGGTCGGCGTCGGCGGCGGCGGCGGCGGCTGGGGTTGCTGCTGGTGCTGCTCCCGTCGCCGGGGGAGGCGTTGCTGTCGAGGCCATGATAGCGGGTTGAACAGAAGTCTCGCGGTCGTCGTATGCGTCGGGAAGAGGAGTGCAATCGTCTTGGTCCTCGCAGATGCAATGCGACCGATGCTCGGGAAGCTTCGATAGCTATCTGGAATCAATAGTTGTACAAGGCCACACCGCCCGGCAGATCAGAGCGCTAGAGTGGTGATGTTGATGGTGGTGATGACGGTACGTGTATGTATGTGCTGGTGACTTTTTTCTTCATCCACAATCCATTGATTGATTCTCTCCGGGCGCTCCCCGGTCTGCTAGTTCTCGAGTCCCCCCGTCTCATAATTATATGGACCCCGCGCCCAATCAGCAGCTCTCCCGCACATGGAATTCTTTTTCTGGGGGGGGATCTTTTTACCATTTTTGGGGGACCTTCTTCCAAGAAAGCCTGGGCCAGTGGAGCAAGAATTCATTCGATTGCCGAATTTCCCACTGCCCATTGAACAACGCAGCCAGACGAATTGGACCCTCCATTCCGAATTGGTAGAACAGAAGCATTTTCTCTCCTTGCAAGTGGCATGTGCTTGCCCCCCAGTACCAGTACCCATCAAGCCAAGCCCAACCCGAACGAACGCCGCGCCCTTGTCGACCATTGCCATGTCCGACGCCGGTGACGCAGCGCCCTGTATGACTTTCCTGTTCCATATCAACAAGACGAATCGCATTAACTACGCTGCACATGTCGCAAGCCGCCGTTGTGTTTTTTTATTCATTTTCAATTTTTTTTCACTTTTGTTTTCTCCTGTTCATTTCTTGCTTGACCTCTTCTTGACATATCCTGCGTTGCACATTTTATTACACGAAAAACTAAAATCAACGACGTTGTGCTGATTCGTCGGCCGGTTTTTGCAGCAAATATGAAGGTTTTCAAGCCACTTACAGTGGTTATAAAACTGGGTGAGTTTGTGTCATATATTCCTCTAGGGGGTTCAATGCTTGGCTGCCTCGAGCTTTAACAACACCACGTCGGGATTGTCTCACTCACGCATGTATACGTCCAGGCACAAGTTCCATCGTCGATGAAAAGACGCACGAGCCGCTGCTGCCCATCCTCAGTCTCATAGTGGCCACGGCCGTCAAGTTACGGAAAGATGGCCACCGGGTCGTCATCGTGTCCTCTGGCGCCATCGGCGTCGGGCTGCAGCGCATGAACGTCGAGAAGAGACCAAAGCACCTCGCCCAGCTGCAGGCCCTGGCCGCCATCGGCCAGTGCCGTCTCATCAGCTTGTGGGATCAGCTCTTTGGCTACTACAGCCAGCCGGTGGCTCAGATTCTCCTGACCAGAAACGATATTGCGGACGTGAGTATTCTCCCTTGCCTGCCCGTCATTTCATGCAGTCTTACTCGCTGCAGCGGCAAAGATATCTGAACGCCCAGACCACGGTGAACGAGCTTCTCGAGATGGGTGTCATCCCCATCGTCAATGAGAACGATACCCTTGCCGTGGCGGAGATCAAGTTTGGCGATAACGATACCCTCTCGGCCATTACGGCAGCCATGGCCCACGCCGATTTTCTCTTCTTGATGACGGACGTGGACTGCTTATACGACAAGAACCCCCGTACGAATCCGGACGCACAGCCCATACAGGTCATTGACGACATTGACTCTGTTCGTGCGGATGGTGAGTCTACAGATATCAAAGTCTAGTACGGATATGTATACTAACCCCATTACCAGTATCGAGCGCCGGATCTGCTCTGGGAACTGGTGGGATGGGCACCAAGATCGTTGCCGCTAAGCTCGCAACGTCGGCCGGCGTCACGACAGTCATCACCAAGTCCGACAAGCCGGACAACATTCACCGGATAGTGCGCTACGTCCAGGCGACAAAGTCCCTGCCATCGTCGGAAGATCACACGGAAGACCCCCTGGCGGCGTCCACGGCCTCGCTGGCCCTCGACATCGCGGAGCCGCCCCTGCACACGCGCTTCCTGCCCCTGGCGCACCCGATCCGTGACCGGTACTTCTGGGTCTCGCACGGCCTGGCGCCCCACGGCACCATCTACATCGACGAGGGCGCGCACCGGGCGCTGGCCGACAAGGCGGGCCTGCTGCCGATCGGCGTCGTCGACGTCGAGGGGCCCTTCGGCCAGCACGAGGCGGTGCGCCTGGTCGTGGTGGAGCGCCGGTCGACGCCCGGGCCCGACGGCAAGATGTGGGAGGGCGCGCCGACCGAGGTCGGCCGGGCCCTGGTCAACTACGCCATGCCCGAGATCGCGCGCATCAAGGGCCACCGCAGCAGCAAGATCGAGGCCCTGCTGGGCTACGCCGACAGCCAGTACGTCGCGGACCGGGACTACATTAGTCTCTTCCGCACCGAGAGCCGGCCCGTCACGCCCACGCCCGACATCACCGGGCTCGCCTCGTACGAGCAGGGCTCGGCGCTCTGAGATGCCAGCCATTATAGACGGACGGACGGTTCGGGAGTCTGGCGTTTTTTCTATCAGGGGGGAGGAATCGAGAATAGAAAAAAAGAAGAAGAAGGAGTCATGTCTAGAAGAGCAAGCGCTGGCATCTACGGCTTATGGCGTGCTCGCCTACCTATAGCATCTAGGTGCGGAATAAGGAAGAAGAAATTAGATCTACCACGCATGTTACGCCGGGCTAGAATCCCCGTCAAATTGTTCTTCATTCCAAGCGCCTGAGGGTTGCTTGCTTGCTTGTCTGCGTATGACCTTGTCGTGGGAATATCGGGCCAACAACACCCTTTTCACTCGTGACCAACCTCAAACACTTCCTCCCGAAAACACATTTGTAAACTTATTCAGAAGCCACACACATCCCTCTCCACCGTGTCCCAGTCCACGAGTCAAACCCGATGGATGCAAAAACTTTTCCCGCCGTCTTGAGGAGTCATGAGTGGGTCGGCGGCGAGATGAAAGCAAAGGTAGGGCGTGCTAAATAATAATGGCTATTACGTGGCCGACATCTCAACAATAAGCAAAGATCTTCACATCCGATATGGTGTAGTGGCTAACATATGACGCTCTCATTAAAATGATCCGTCATGCCCGGGGTTCGATTCCCCGTGTCGGAGATGTAATCAAACCTAATCTTTTATTTTTTCTGTTTTTGTCCTTTTGATCTTTTTGAAGCGACCATGGGGATCGCAGGTTTTGGCGGACTATAAAAGTTTTTGTAGCCCTAGTCCGGATCAGGGCGGGGCAGCGATAAGTCAAGAGAGAAGCACCAGTGCAGTCCAGTGCAGTGCAATACAGGCTTTGGGCATCAAAGGGCACCTTTTTGTCGGTCTGCAGTGCAGAGACGTTGGTTATGAAAATGAAAAAAAAAACAAAAAAAAACAAAAAAAAAAAAAAAAAGTATCAAGGGAAGCAGACTGCATTTGCACGCCATAGCCAAATGATTGAGGGGTAGAAAAAATGCAAAAAAGAATGGTCTCAGATTAAATCTGAGGGAAGTGATGAGAGTGGGACTTGAACCCACGCACGTTTCCGTACCAGGAAGTAGGTGTTAAGGTAGACCTTAACCTGGCGCCATAACCAACTCGGCCATCTCACCGTGGTTGTTGTTGAAGAAATTGTGCTTATGGTAGACTAAGACCGCTAGCTGTTTAAGCTGTACGTCGCTGTGGTCCGGAGTATGCAGAATACAGAATACTGTGGTCGGAAACGAATCGATGGATTAATGGTGTGGGTAAAGAGTTTTGTGTCTGGGGAAGACCTTTTCGTATGGAAGGTGCCGAGTTCGGATGCGGGGAGATAGGCCGGGAAGGATGATACAGTCGACGCTTGGAACTTCGTGCTATACTCGAATGTCCACTCCCGCCAAATTTTCTGCGATGCGACATTGAAACCCTCTACTTGTGAGATGTTTGTGCATTCCTTGACTGCTTAAATATGTTTAATTCATGTTGAGTAAGTCTGTTCGAAAAATGTTCATAGTGATATTATACTACATCGAGCGTGGAGCACAGATGTGATGTGTGGTACTCAAGATCCTCCTCGTGGAGCTTCAGATTGCTGTGAAATTGAGATGACAAGGCCCAAAGTGTACTGCATCATGTTCGGTTGTTCTTGGTGCGAAAACCAAGACAAACCAGCCAATACATGTTTGTAAATACTGTGACTAGTCTTCACATATTAGATCATTTGACAACTGGCCTTGGAGCAATCAATCATGTTTTGTCATTAATTATTTTCAGCACATTACTTTGCTGCAGCTACCAGCTTCCCAAGTCCAGCTTGATCTAAAAGTCGTTGCCGGCCTGGTCGCGCTTCATGCGACCCTTCTGCTCGAGGTTGTCGTTGCCGAGCATGTTTCCAGCCTTCTGCAAGAGCTTGCCTGCCGTAGAGTCCTTTCCGCTGTTGCCACCACTATGATATGTTAGCACATGTACACGATGCCCATGTTTGTTGGGAGAGTTGAAGACGTACGAGCCGTAGCTGTCATTGCCTCCAGAGCCGTAGCTATCATTACCACCGGAGCCGTAGCTGTCGTTGCCACTACTGCCCAGACCGCCAGAGCTGCCATACGAGTCGTTGCCACGACCGCCTCGGCCAGAGGAGCCGTAACTGTCGTTACCGCTGCCACCGAGGCCACCGGAGCTGCCGTACGAGTCGTTGCCGCTACCACCCAGGCCGCCAGAGCTGCCGTAGGAGTCGTCACCGCGGGTGCCTCGGCCGGAGGAGCCGTAGCTGTCGCCGCCGGCACCACCAGAGCCGTAGCCGGCCGCGCCGCCGGAGCCGAGCGAGCTGTCGCCGCCGAGGCCAGAGGATCCGTATGAATCACCGCCGCGGCCGCCGGAGCTGCCGTACGAGTCACCACCTCGGTTGCCAGATGATCCGTACGAGTCACCGCCGCTGCCGCCGAGGCCACCGCCGCTGCCGCCGAGGCCACCTGAGCTGCCGTATGAGTCGCCGCCACGGCCACCGGAGCTGCCGAAGCCCGTGTCATCGCCTTGGTTCAAGCCCGATGATCCGTAGCCTCCCTGGCCGGAGGAGCCGTAAGAATCATTTCCCCGGTTGCCACCGGAGCCCTACGATGGGCGTCAGTGGTATGAGGAGGTTGAGAGGAGTTGAGGTTTGAACATACGTAGCTGCCAGTGTTACCACTGCCGTAGGACTGTGAATGGGCAAACTTGTTAGTGCCATGACCTCGACCATGGATTGGAAGTCCTTACATCGTCGTCGTTGTTACCGTAGCCAGACATGATGTATGAAGTAGTAGAAAGCTTATTTGTGGAATGGAGAAAAGATCTTGTGTGTTTGTGATGGTAGTGATATGCTAAACAGTATCATAGGAGCCAACGTCGGGCTCTTATACTTGTAAGAGTGCGAGCTATGCCGTCCAATGGGTTGGCTGCCTCTGCCGGGTGAGGGGAAGCTTGTGCTTGAGTTCATGGAAGCTTGATCTCGTACCCTGGACATGAGCTGTGGCGACGTCACTATTGGGACCGGGAGGTGGACATCGTTGGCAGAGGGAGCCGACCTGTCTCACCACAGGATGCCAGCCATTGGTCTATGAAGCATGTGCTAGGGGGGTGGGAAGCAGACGCGATCTATCAGCTTCGAATCGACAAGCTGTCAACGTAGATACTGTCAATGGACTGCGGTAGACCAGGATTGTGATCGACTGCGGCTGTACGGCGGCAAGATACCAAGGGCCCTTAGCAAAAGGCACTAGTGAGACTATTGACATCTACCTGATCGGCAAGTACTCTGAGGATCTGAGCCGCAGTGTTGCCTTTTTGGAGGTAAAGCTCGTCATTGCTTTGGGAATGGGGGCCAGGAGCTGAGTGTTGTCTGTTCCTGGGCAGCTCGATTGCTTGTTTCGCATTGGCTTTCCGGCAAAGACGGGGCAGGTAGCTTGTCTTCCATGATGCCATGCTTTCCGACGATCTGAACTCAAGCTCTGACATGCTTTTCCCCAATTGTCTCGCTCACAAGCTAGAGTTTTATGATCGAGGATCGTAGTGTTTCGAGGTAGAGGAGCATGGCAGTGGCGTCATTGAGCATCGAGATAGCAACCTTGGGATGCTCGGAACATGTTTGATGGAAGGCCATGACGGCCAGGCCTGGGGATACAACACAACCTCGAAGAAGTTATCAAGGTTGCGCTAGATGCCGCCTGCTCATTGGCCAGGGCAGCTCCCAGGAGCCAAATAAGGTAACAAGCTAATGCTGGCAAAGCCAAGAAAAATCCAGGCCTCCAGCCCCTGCTTCCAGTCGAGATTGGCTCGGAGATCGGGTGGTTTCTTTCTTTCTCTGAGATGCACGGATTCCGGAACAAGCCAGCATGGTTTTTTCCGCATGTACAGTATGTGCACAACTTGTGCCATTGATGATGGTGGATGAATGCTTGTCCACCCCCAGTTTGTTTCGTTTCCGAGCCGTTCCCGTTCCACTTTCCTCGAGGTTTCCCCAGCTGAAAAAGAGAGGGCGATGCAAGACGATCCTAGCCGGCATGTTCCAGACTCCCAGATGTCCCTCCCGTGCTCCGTAGAAACGCACGTTTTACCCCGCTTACGTCAAAAGAAAACACGGTACGTACTGTAATGATCAAGGAGGGGTAAGAAACATGATCAGTCAAACAGGACTCGGTTGCTGGCCAGTCATCTGTACTTGCTCGGGACACATGTCTGTTTCTTTCGACATGAGTGAGCAATAATCTCATCTTCCGACGTACAAGTTGCCGTCGCTGTTTAGGCTGTGTTCACAAGTACCTCGGTACGTACCTTGTGCGGGACGATGAATGGCTTTGGTTTAAGGCAGATTGCCTCGAATATAGCAACTCGTCCGATCGTGGGTTGAGGAAGCTTCATGCTGCTGTGTTCCTGCTGGTCTTGACTTCAGCCCACGCGTAACATGCTCGGTCGGTCATGACATTGTCCTTGTGCGGCGGAGAATTCCGACTCTCGGCCCAGCGCACGATGCGTTAGACTGCCGCTTGCTTATTGAGCGGTGGCTAATCTTGCATGTTGGGCGAACCCAATCAGCACGTTCCGATATGAAGAGAACATCTTTTGACATGCTGATTATACTGTATATTTGTGTACTTGTCATGGAGAAGCGATTCCAGTCGAAAAAGCCATTCCAAAACTTCAAGGTTGACCTAATGCAAGGTCGGTGTATCGAATATCCTCCCAACTCCCACTGAAAATCCAGAATGTTGATACCGTGAGTTCCGTAGTTGTCTTTTTTCGCAACCATGAGTGATATGCGGACCAACTCCAGATCTCTTGGATGATCGTCTAAACAGGACTCAACTCGACTCGGCTCACCCAGTGTCCAAGCACAAGGTGATCTAGGGTATCATATGCATGGGCACGCAATGCAAAAAATCAGGTCGCGGCACTCCCAGCTAGTGTAGCCCTTCCTCACAACTTCTTTCGTATCTCGTATAGCCGCTTGCGACCGCAAGACGGATGCGTCTATTCTTACGAGAGCGTCGCTTCGACACCGCTGGCCTTCACGACACCGTCCTTGCCGTTCTGGGCAGGCATGGCGATGGCACGCCCTTGGGCCTTCTCGGTCAGGGCAACAAGCTCCTCCAGCATACGATCGCGAGTCGTCCGCACGAGTTCGTCAACGTCGGCAGCCGTCAGGCCGGTGGTCGGGATCGGGTCGAGCACTAGGCCGCGTTAGCAAATCGGACCAAGACGATGCGGGCGGTAGTTGGACTATACCTTTGCAGGGGATCTTGCCCGACTTGAAGGTGAAGTCCTTCAGGTAGAGGACATGCGAGTAGTTGGCCACGACGACTGGTACAATGGGCACACCGGCCTGGACGGCCAGGTGGAAAGCACCCTTCTTGAAGGGCAAGAGAGTAGGGTCCTTGGCGTAGCTACGGGTGCCCTCGGGAAACATGTAGACACTCTGCTTGCGAGATCTGATCTCCTCGGCGGCACCGCTCATGGCTTGCCTGGCGTCCTTGGAGTTCTTGCGGTCAATGAAGACGGTTCCGCTCAGAGACATGAACCAGCCCAGGAAGGGCCAGTTCTTGAGCGACTTCTTGGCCGTTACGCTGCAGTACTTGGGGAACATGCATCCGAGCATGAGCACGTCGAGTTCGGTTTGG